GTGTACATCTAGGTTTTGTGTGTGTGTATTTTACATGTTAATAAAAAAATTAAAAACAAAAAACAAAAGAGGAAGTAGTCCTTGACTTGCAACCATGTGTTTAGTGACTGCTCAAAGTTATAACAGCACTGGGAAAAAAGCGCCTTATTCGCCATTTTTCACACAACCATTGAAGCCTCCCCATGTTCCCCTGATCAAAATGCAGGCGCTCGGCCACTGGCATGTGTTCATGATGGTGGCAGTGTCACCTTTTGCAACCTGACAAGCAAAATCAATGGGGGAGCCAGATTCCCTTAATAATGGTGTTACTAACTTAGCAACATAAATTTGGGGGCAAAACTCTGGATGCAAGTCAAGGACTATCCGTATCGACTCAAATAACAAAATGTTGAAAAGTTGATGGAGTTTCCTCTCCCGTCTCCTTTATACCAAAAAGCATCGAGACAGGACAATTGAAGATTTCTTTTTCCTGGCAGAGCTCATCTTTTGCTAACAGCTGTTTCATATCTGCTCCAAGGTCATCTCTGTATTCCTCTCCATGTTTGGAGAGTCCTTAACATACAACCATTTGCTTAGTCGCTATCTGAAATTACAGTAGCATTGAAAAAAAGTGACCTATAACACTTAACGATCATTGAAGCCTTCCCACAGTTACGTGGTCCAAATTTGGTTGCTTTGGCAACTGGCATGTATTTACGATGGTTGCAGGGTCACATGGTTGCCATTTGCAAACTTCCCAGGGGGCTTCGGACAAGGAAAGTAAATAGCCTGGAGGCCATCATTTTGCCCTATAAAATGCACTCCCCACCCCCCAAGGTGGGTGGGAATGTCTGTGCGTCTTACAGAGTGAATATTACGGTGCGGGAGGGGGGTTGGTGCCTGTCACCACTGCCACCGGGGAACCCTGGAGCCTTCGCTGCCGAGCAGCTGATCGGCGGTTGGATCGGCCTCTCAGAATACCGCCAATCAGCTGTTCTATGCGGCGAGGATTGCCGCCGCTGTTCACTGCTGACCAATGGTGGCGGCGATAGGTGGTGGCAGCAAATGGCATTGCCCGGCGGCAGCAGCAGCCCCGATGAACCATGTGCTGGGGCTGCAATAATGTGCTGAAGCTGACCAGGCTGTTTGCTGTTTGCTGCAAGGATGCTATCCAGATGAATACCGGATGGATGCTTGGTGGCAGAGGCAGATCTTCTTTTTCTTGTTTTCCTCCACTAAAGTTAATCTGCACCTTGAGTGCGTCTTATAGAGTAGTTTGTTGCTATTTCAGGTAATATTCAAGTGTCTTCAAGTTGTCATGTCACTGACCTTATCCTAACTTGTTCTTCCTTTGCAGACAGTCAATCAGCTCGCTCACGCGCTCCATATGGATAAAGACTTAGAAGCTGGTTGCTTAGTTCATGTCTTTTGGCCTAAAACCAAATGTGCTCTCTTGAGAGACGACTTGGTCTTAGTAGACAGGTATAACAACTCTTTTGGATTCATTCCCAAGGTGTCTTTCTTTGAAACACACACTCCGTCTTGGCTGTAGCTTCCCATTGTTTCAGTGTTCAAACCAGTCTCTGAAAAGACTAAGCGATTAAGCCAACTATAGACTACAGCTTAATATCCTGGCTTGTTCAGAAACGCTTAATCATAGGATCCAAAAAGAAAAGAAATTGTAATGAATGGGAAGTCTTCTTGACTTGTTTATTGAGACTCTGGAAAGAGTGCAGAGAAGGGCGACAAAGATGATTAAAGGCTTGGAGCAGTGGTGAAATTCAAAAAAATTTCCCTACCAGTTCTATGGGCCTGGCTTGGTGGTCATGTGACCAGGTAGGCATGGCTTGGTGATCATGTGACCGGGTGGGCATGGCTGCACAACTGACTCACACACAATGTGAAAACAGCTGGACTTCACGCAGAATGGCCCCTGCAACAAGCAGGAATCTCATAGTCAATCAGGCACAACTGATTGTCGTGCAGCTAATGGTCATAACTTTTAAAAAACATTTTAGCATTTTTTACTACTGGTTCGGGGCAAACCAACCCGAACCGATAGCATTTCGCCCCTGACTTGGAGAGAAAAACATATGAAGAATGGTTGCAGGAATTGGGTATGTCTAGTCTAGTGAAAAGGACTAGGGGTGACATGATAGGCAGTCTTCCAATGTTTAAGGGGCTGCCACAGAAAAGAGGGAGTCAACCTATTTTCTAAAGTACTTGAAGGCAAGGCAAGAAACAATGAATGGAAACTAACTAAGGAGAGAAGCAGTCTAGAATTAAGGAGAAATTTCCTGACAATGAGAACAATTAATGCAATGGCTTGCCTTCAGAGGTTGTGGGTGCCTCATCACTGGAGGCTTTTAAGAAGAGACTAGATGGCCAATTGCCTGGAATATTATATGGTCTCCTGCTTGAGCAGGGGTTGGATTAGAACAGTGTTTTTCAACCACTGTGCCGCGGCACACTAGTGTGCCGTGACATAGTGTAAGGTGTGCCATGGGANAGGAAGGAAGGAAGGAAGGCAGGAAGGAAGGAAGGAAGACTGTGAGTTGGAGTCCTGCCTTGGGCAGCTGGGTGACCTTGGGACAGTCACTGCGAGAACTCAGTCCTAGAAAATAGGCAATGGCAAACCCCTTCTGAAAAACGTTGCTAAGAAAGCTGCAGGAAACAGTCCAGACAGTTGCCAGGAGTCAGTGCTGACATAGGCACTAAATATACACAGTAATCCCTTAATTTGTGGTAGGCTGGGGCGACTCAGTGGCATTGGGGCGACTCAGTGGAGCTGAGCATTTATTGGCCGGATGCCCTTCCTGACACCTATATGGAGTTCGCAGCAGATTTTTTTTTCCTTTGTGCCCTGAGAAAGACGTACACATCTGCCAGGGTATCTAGGATTGAACTCTCAACCTTCTGAGTGGGAGGCGAGTGTCTTCGCCACTAGGCCAACCATGCCCCTCACAGTCCTAGTAAGCAATAAAAAGTGCAAATAATTAAAGCAAGGCTCCTTTTAGAAAAAGGCAGGCTAGCTCGGGAAGTGAAGAGGCATGACTGCAGAATCCAGCCACATGTGCCTGGCAAAAGAATTCTGTGCTTGCTTGGTCTGTTGCCATGGGCTCTCCCTTCCATGCTCCACCTCCAGATTCTGCCTTCCAAGTTACCATATTTTTTGGATATAAGACGCACCAAGATTTTGAAGAGGCAAATTTAAAAAAAAAGTTTTTGCACTCTGCAGACCTCCCGAAAACGGCTTGTTTTTCACAAAAACGGGCCCATTTTTTGAGAAAAAAAGGGCATGGATAGCCTTTAGGAGGCCTATAGAGTGCTCCTGGGGGCTGTGGGGTGCAAAAACGAGCAAAAAACATCCCATTTTCCGCTCATTTCTGCCCTTCCCAGCCCCCAGGAGCGCTCTGGAAGCCTCCTAAAGGCTATGCATGGCCATTTTTGCAAAGGGGGCAGGGTTTCAGGAGACCAAAAATGCTTTATTCAGTGTATGACACATCCAGGTTTTCACCCTCTTTTTTAAGGGAAAAAGCTGCATCTTATACTCTGAAAAATACAGTAATTAATGGCTGGCTTCAGGCAGGGAGTGATCTACAGAATTATCTGGGTTCTGTGATAATCAAAAGGTATATGTGACCCTTTAATATCAACGTTAAGCACATTGCTCAAAGGACCGGGATTAAGACCAGAGGAGAAAAACTTAAAATGGGTTTGAGCTGCAAATTGAATTGGTTCTCCCTGCTCTTAATTTTTCCTGGAATCTACCTAGTAGGGTTGGTAAGTCCCTCTGTTAGTCTGAGTTCATGTCCACCAGAGGCTGTTGGCTGCTTTCCCCCCTGCCTTAGAGTGCATTCGATGGAAGAGCGAGAAGACCAGAAGGACAGGTTGGAATTTGTACGAAACCAGCTCAACCTTTTAACAGATGAGGTTAAGAAGAAAATTAAAGATGTTACAGAAGAAGTTGCCAACAAGGTAAGTAGCCAAGAGATCTGTCCCGAATCCCTAACTCCGTTCTCAGCACATGGGTTTTCCACATAACCACCCCAATGGCGGGATTCAAATATTTTTACTACAGTTCTGTGGGTATGGCTTGGTGGGCATGACAGGGGAAGGTTACTGCAAACCCCCATTTCCTCCCGATCAGCTGGGACTCGGGAGGCAGAGAATAGATTTGGCATGGCCTGTCAGAGGTGGTATTTACCGGTTCTCTGAACTCAAAATTTCTGCTACCGGTTCTCCAGAACTGGTCAGAACCTGCTGAATACCACCTCTGACCCTCCCGGAGCAGTAACCATGGGTGTATGAAGCCATACCTAGTTCATTTGTCAGGGTTCCGACAAATGCCCTAATTAAATCATGAGCCTCTATAAATCCATTAGTTGGCATGTACCCAAGTGAAGCCAGCTTTGACCCCACGGCCCGAGTATGCTTTGTGAGTTGGCACATGTCCTTACTGAGCTTTTAGCAGTGTTGGTACCTGCTCCACCACTACAAAATTCTTGTAGGCTAAGTGGTGGAAATCTCTCGAGTAATTGGAGGTAGGCTGCTTATCTTACATCAAATCTTCCCTCCCTTTTATTTTGGAAGCAATTATTAGCCTACCCTGCAGGGCTCTAAAGAGGTTATCAGGTTGTAGTGGAAAGATGTCACTCGTTTCTTCTGACTCCTTACTCAGGCATGTGTCATGTTTTCTAGGTGTCTTCTGCCATGACTGATGAAATCTGTCGGCTTTCAGTTTTGGTAGATGAGTTTAGCTCTGATTTCCATCCATCTCCACAAGTTTTGAAACTTTATAAAAGTGTAAGTTCTCTCCATTGGCTTTCCATTCCTTGGCTAGTGTTGATTTCTGTGGATTGGTTTTGGTGTGTGTGTGTGTGAGTGTGTGTGTGTGTGTGTGTATGTGTTACTTGCATATCAACTACTTGAGCATCATATGTACCAATTCCTGTGATGTTAATACGTAGAGTTCAGAACTGGTCAAAGTTGCATAAACTTGCCTTGTGATGTTTTAGCAAAAGGGGGAATAAATCTGGCTTCATGGTAAAGCTCATGATTTTCCTTTTGCCAGGAACTCAGCAAGCACCTAGAGGAAGGATTGGGAAGGAACCTGGCAGTCCGTTGCTCCAGCGAAGTCAACAGCTCTATGCATCAATCCCAGCAAGAAATTATTGGTAAAGAAGAATGAATAAATACTGACCGTTTGACTTCTCCCCTTCCCTCACCCTGCATATGTGTGTGCTTATATATGGAATTCATTTCAAGAGTCAACTCTTGCCCTCAGTTACTTAAAACACCATTTTTTTAAAAAAACAAACTATAGTGTCATTTCTCAAAACGACGCTATAGGACACTGCACACCAGAAACAACCAGACACAAGGACAGTTTTTTCCTGAATGCCATCACTAAACAACTAATTCCCACAACACTGTCAAAATNCCCTGAGCTGGTGAGATTTGAACAGCCGAACTGCAGAACTGCAGTCAGCTGAAGTAGCCTGCAGTGCTGCATTTAACCACTGCGCCACCTCGGCTCCCAGCAAAAAAAATGGCTCCCAGCAATTTGCCTCCTAGCAGCAAACAGCCTGCTTCAGTTTCAGCTTCAGCACAGCCTGATTAGCACAAGCAGCTGATAGTCAGTTAATTCGTCCTCCCAACTATCAGCTGTTTCAGGCTGCAGGGATTGCCATTGCCTATTCACAGTACTTTTTCAGCCCTCTCCAAGCGGTTTACAGAGTCAGCATATTTGTCCCCAACAATCTGGGTCCTCATTTTACTGACCTCAGAAAGATGGAAGGCTGAGTCAACCTTGAGCCTGATGAGATTCGATCTGCCAAACTGCAGGCAGTCAGCAGAAGTAGCTGGCAGTACTGTACTCTAATCACTGCACCACCATGGCTCAGATAGGAGGGTATAAATTATAGGATATAATTATAGGGTATAACTAAATTAGATGGGAGCTTTTCAGGGACTCCTGTTTTTGCTCTCTGTTTTATCTTTTATAGTTGTTTCTTTTCATTTCTGATTATTTCCAATTTTAAGTTCCTTTGGAAGATTTTACACAGTGGAAAAGCAGCACAGCTGGAAAGTATCATCTTTGCAAAGTAAAACGTCAGATGTTTTGGAAATTTATTGGGACAGAAAGTAAATCGAATGTCAACATGACTGTAATTTCGATTAGCTACCTGCTGCTGAACGATCAATTTGAGTGAAGTTAGGAGATCTTGTTCGTATCTTCTTTGCAATTGGATCCCAGACAGAATTATGACTCTTTGGATCTGCGAGTCAATTACAAACTCAGAAATCTTTATTTTCTGAAGTGAAGTTCAGAAACTCCTTGGTGGCTTGTCTGGGGCTTGTCTAATCTGAAAGACGGGAAGTAAAATAAAATAAAAAGGGGTGATAAAATACTATTTCAGTCATCCATCTTTAAAAACGATTGTAAACAGTTCTTCTTGGGCCTCCTAGAAGCAGTTCTGCAGAAGAAGGAAAGTAATGAAGCCATATTCTTTGCCAAGTTGATGAGTAACTAGCTGTTCCTCAAAAGCTCTTTCAATAGATCTGTGTGTGTCTATATCGACTCTACCCTGAATTAAGGGATTACAGGGTCATAAAAAGACGAGTTTATATCGAGATCCATATCTGTGTCTCTATTTTAGGAGAAACATTTTTTCCACAAAGTGAACGAAAAACTTTCTAAACCAAACATCTTCATCCTGAACAATCGCTGGGATGCTTCTGCGTCAGAACCTGAATACATGGAGGACGTGAGTTACGGATTTGTCATTTTCTTGGGGAAAGGAGTTGATGGGTGCTTAGAGTGGCACTTAAGTCCTTACATTCATTTAAGGCAGGGGTGTCAATTTCACTGAGGGCCGCACATCAGGGTTGTATTTGACCGCGGGGGGTGAGGACAGTTCAACGTCACTTGTGTCCGGGGTGCCTGTGGTGGCCTGAAGGCTCTGCCAGTAAAAATAGGCTCCCAAGCTCCGTTTTCGGCTGTGACGGCTTCCTGCAACCCTCTGCCAGCGAAAACGGAGCTCAGGAGGGTTGTGCACATCCTCCCAAGCTCCGTTTTTGGCTGTGACGGCCTCCTGCAACCCTCTGCCAGCAAAAACGGAGCTAGGGAAGCCTGCAAGAGGCATTGTGATCCAGTTCGTGGGCCTTGAGTTTGACACCCCTGATTTAAGGTGACAGTCAAGGAAATCTTATGAATTCAGAGATTTTCTTCCCAAAGTACAGAGGCAGTACAGAGAAATTAGAATTTGCTTTTTGTGTCTTGTAAATGGATGGCTGAGACTGACTGATGATCCCGTGCACTATCATTGTCATTCTGCAGGTACGCAAACAGCACATGGAGCGTTGCCTGACTTTCTTGGTGGATGAGCTCAGGGTTGTGGACCGTTCTGAAGCCCAAAACCGAATTTTCTTTGTTTCAGCCAAGGAAGTTCTCAGTGCAAGGAAGCAAAAAGCTCAAGGCATGCCTGAAGGAGGTGTGTATTCTGTCAGACCTGGAAGCGATCTTTTGCACTGGGCCTTCAGGCCTGCCACATTTAATGCTGTGGGAAACTGGGAGGGGGGTTTATATGGAGCATGGGAAATGTAGTCAAAATAATATTCCCTTCTCCAAGAGTCGAGGACACCTTGCCCTGCACCTGGAGTGGTGTGACTGGGAGGCTTCTCCAGTGTTGGATGGCGCCCGATTGGATGATGTGATGGACATGTGGGAGCTGGGCAGTGACTTGAACAATCACTTGGGTGGGGAAAACCTGAAAGCTTTCAGATTCGGGTTTTCCCAGATGTGCCAATATGACATCTCTAATAAAATGGATCTTTGGGGAAATTCGAGCCTCAGAGTCTTCTTTCGTTAGGGGTGTTTCTTGGAACCCTGACAGATTGCAAATTAGGTCCACTTTCTAGCGGTGATGGTCCTTAACATCTTTTGAAGGTTGGCTATTTTTTTTCCCACCCCTGAAGCACCCGTCAATCCTAAGTCTAATGCAGCTTCAAGAAATTGTCTCTTCACCCACTTTTTTGTCTTCTCTTCTAGGTGGCGCAATCGCTGAGGGATTTCAGACACGGTTCCAGGAGTTCCAGCATTTTGAAAAAATATTTGAGGTAAACCTCCAGAGTGTCTAAAGCAGATTGAGTGGACCCTATGCATATATAGCCTATGTCATCCATAAATCTGTCCATTCCATGATTATCTGCAGAAATAAAGGCATTTTGAGCTTGGTGGGTTTTCTTAGAGAGCCAGAAGAGAGCTGCATTCAAATAATTATGAATGACTCTTACATTCAGCTAGCTTTGCACATTAGTGCAACGTGTAGTTCTGTTCTCTTCCAGTGACTATCTTGTTCATCGGAAAGTCAAGAGAATCCAACTGTTTTTCTATCGTAGATGTTTCTAGGTTAGGCTTATTATATTTCTGTGTTCTCCAGGGCTGCAGTTTTATTCTTGCGGAAATACAATTTCTTTTTTCCTTTTTAAGATTCAGTCATAAAAACATGACGTAACTGACCTCTTTCTCTCTGCCCGCCATGTTTTACTCTGAATATGACAACAATGTATGTACTTCTGTATCCGATACTTGGCAGCTAAGAGTGAATTTATATTGAACTACTGCTGATAACATGGCATTACCCGGGCATTTATTTATAGGGGGGAAATATCCAGATCAAATATAATTTCTAATGTTGAATTTTCCCCCTACCAGAGGGAGCCCCCTTGTGGAGTACTGTGAAGCCGTTACCATGGCAACTCCCCTGTGCTGTGCAGTAGAAGCCATTTTACGGTCGTACAGTAGAAGCCATTTTAAGGCACAGCAGGCTGTAGCTTTACAGAACACCCACACAGTATTTATTTCCAGGGAGTAAGTCTTCTGTGTACCAAGTTTGGGGAAAATTGCTCAAGCGTTTCAGAGTTATGCTGGGACACATGCACACACACACACACATATATAATCATTCTTAAAATGCTTCTGGGGTCTGTGGGACTAGTAGGCAATGGTAAAGCATGGTCTTCATTGTAATGTGAGAAAACTTGGATGACCACCATTTCCTTCCCCGTTCTAGAAGGCAGCAAAGGTTGATATGAGACATCACAGAAGAAGCGTTGCGGTTCTCACAAAATAGGAACTAGTCTGATCCTTGTTAGCTGCCATTAGACGCTTAATGCCATTTTATTTCAGTGAGGCTGGCTAAAAAAAAGGAGAAGCTGGATGACCATGTGACTATATGTATTGTTGACTATCATTGGTCTTGTGGCGTATGCCACCATGTCTCATCATGGCCTGTCTTTTTTGTGGCAGCCCAGCCAGCATCACCATTGACTGAGGTAGTTTGCAAACACTGTTTAAGAAATAAAAGAGGAGGAGGAGGAAGAGATGTACGACAATCACGTTTCCCTGATTCAGGTCTTGCCCAGCTTCAGAGATCAAAATTCTTGACTAAGAAGGAACTTGAGTGTTCTCTCAAAAAAAGCTGTAGTGTTATGAATGCTTTGCTAACACCTTTTGTAGAAAACACAACCCAGAATCTTCTCTTTGCATGAAAATCAGTTCTCAACATCTCTAAGAAGAGTGGAGAAATGCAGGGTGGGTAGAGTGGAGGCCAATTTGAAAAAAGGGATAAACAGCTGTGGACGTCTTAAGGAGAAAAACTAACCAACTGTAAATAGCCAAGCATCCTGCAGGGAACTGGTGGCGCAGTGCTTAGAATGCAGTATTGCAGGCTAACTCTGCATTCTACTGCCAGGAGTTCGATCTTGACTGGGTCAAGGTTGACTCAGCCTTTCATCCTTCCGCGGTAAAATGAGGACCCAGATTGTTGGGGGCAAACCGCTTAGAGAGGGTTGTAAAGCACTGTGAAGCGGTATATGTGTCTAAAGGCTGTTGCTATAAATGATCACATCTGCTATATAAAAATAGCAATAGCGCTTAGACTTATATACCGCTTCACAGTGCTTTACAGCCCTTTCTAAGCGGTTTAAAGAGCCAGCATATTTGCCCCCAACAATCTGGCTCCTCATTTTACCCACCTCGGAAGGATGGAAGGCTCAGTCAACTTGAGCCAAGTGAAAATTGAACTCCCAGAATGAGCAGTGAGTTAGCCCTGCAGTACTGTATAATAGGCACGTGGTGGCTCAGTGGCTAAGATGCTGAGCTTGTCGATCAGAAAGGTCGGCAGTTTTAGCGGTTCGAATCCCTAGCGCCGCGTAACAGAGTGAGCGCCCATTACTTGTTTCAGCTTCTGCCAACCTAGCAGTTCGAAAGCATGTAAAAATGCAAGTAGAAAAATACGGACCACCTTTGGTGGGAAGGTAACAGCGTTCTGTGCGCCTTCGGAGTTTAGTCATGTTGGCCACATGACAACGGAGACGTATTCGGACAGCGCTGGCTCTTCGGCTTTGAAACGGAGATGAGCACCGCCCCCTAAAATTGGGAATGACTAGCATGTCTTACTTACTTACTTACTTATCTTACTGCATTCTAACCACTGCGCCACCACAGCTCTTATTTATCGTCTCTTAAGACCTGGAGGACTTGTGATTGACAGCCTTGAAGGAAATAATGAGAAATATTCTGTCCTTTTTTTTTGTTTTGCTTTAGGATTGGCGGTCAGTTTAGAAAGCCAAACACCTGTATTAAGCCAGGCCACCCAAAATCCAGGGAACGGCTAGCCAAGTCGTTCAACTGACCTCTTGAAGATGGGCCTGGCTAGAGATGAACTCTTAAAGCAGGGGTGTCCAAACTTGGGAACTTAAAAGACCTGTGGACTTCAACTCCCAGAATTCCCCAGCCAGCATGGCTGGCTGGGGAATTCTGGAAGTTGAAGTCCACAAGTCTTTTAAGTTCCCAAATTTAGACACCCCTCTCTTAAAGTGTTGGCTGAAAGGTTTTCCTGCTCCAATACAGACTTCTCTCTGTCCTGATTCTTGTCAATGAGAGGGATCGTGTGAACTGATTGTCTGCTTTTATTATCTTCTCTTTCTTTTTCAACCCTGAGGTATGGCTAATGTTTCTTATAGCTTCCTACTCTGGACTTGTTTGTTGTATAGTCTGCCCTCTTCTACCTGTTTGCTGACCTGGAATTGGACTTTTCCTGCGAATCTCGTCTAGCTCTAACAATGTGCTCTTGTTCGTGTGAATCACTTGCTTTTTCATTGCTGATTTCTAGATCTACTTCGTCGAGCGTAATGGCTCTTGTCTATTATTTCTATTTTATATCTCCTTTGCTTCTTACTCTCTCTTTTTTTTTGGCCGATAACCCTCATTAAGGTTGAGAGTGCGCTCTGCAATTTTAAGTTCTGTTAGGATACATTCAAAACTCTAGGAGAATGCAGTGAAGAAGAAAATAAACTCTCTCTTTTGGTAAACAGGTGAATAAACACGTGAAGTGTTAATACCACTTTATAATGCCTTGGTAAGGCCACACTTGGAATATGGCATTCAGTTTTGGTCGCCACGATGTAGAAAAGATGTGGAGACCCTAGAAAGAGTGCAGAGAAGAGCAACAAAGATGATTTAGGGGACTGGAGNAAGGTACCCAGCCCTGTTATAGGACACACTTGCACGCTTCCCATGGTGTACCACAGGAGGACGAGCTGCCTTTGCTCCAGAGAGAAAGACAAGTGGCTCCACCTGCAGCAATCAATCAAGGCCTCCTTCCTTCCTGGAGGGTGCCTCACAAGCAGGCACGGCAACTGGGAAGGTTCAGAGCCCTTGATTGCCTGCACAGAGCACCAACTTATCTCCCTGCTGAAGTGGTACCTATCTATCTACTCGCACAGAACATGCTTTCGAACTACAAGTGAGCAGAAGCTGAGGCGAATGACAGGAGTTCACCCTCCCATCTCCAGCATCATTAAGCCTTTGAGCCATTGCACCTCTTAGTTATGCGAATGATCTGTGTCTAATTTAGATTCATTTAGAGAGGTACTTTTAATTTTAATTACTTTTTTATTTCAAACCCTAATTTACCAGTTTTCCTCAAAACTGATAAATTGCCCAACTGATTTACCCAACGGACTTGGGTATTGTTAATGTTTGAGGTCCCTGGAGGACTAATTATTTTCCTCCTTTTGTCTCGTAGGAAGAAAGCCGTTTGTCTTGAAGATGAATTTGACTGTTTTTCAAAGGATTTTCTCCAGAAAAAGAAAAGTGGAATTTGAAAGATTAGCACCGTTTCCCTCACAGGGATTTATCACATGTTTTTTTTTTTTCCTGCTGCTTTGAGGACTCAGTTTCTCTGTTGCCACCCGGCCGTTCTGATACTTAGGCTATGAATTGTGCCCAAGAACTTGGGATGGGAGCAGTATTTACTACTGATTGAATCATTTTTCAACTTTTCATAAGATGAACTAATTTGTATCTTCTGTAGTATATCAAAATTTATTTGGAAATGTAAAAAAGTAAAGTATATAAAATAAATAGAGACCCGTAGTATTTTGTATAAATGTTTACACAAGAGTCAGCTTCTCTTGCTGGCATCCAGGACGATTCTTGTTTCACCCCAGTCCTATTATCATATTGTTGTTAATTCTCTGTGGCGATTTTTCCCCCCTGAAGACTCTTGTACAAACCAATATAGTATTACAGAACTCTGCCAATTTTTGAAAGAGATCTGTAGTGTTTGGATACAGAGACAATCCATTTTCCTGATGCCATTCTAGGGTTTTCATTTGGCCGAAAGACGAATTAAATCTTCAAAGTGGCGTATTTAAAGCTGTATATTTTTACTGAGGGAATTCCTGGCTCGAGTCAGATTGATTTATCAGAAAAGTCTGGCTGTCCTTTTTCACCATTTCTCAGAATAAGCTTTGTTAGGCAGGCAAATGTTTTTCTCAAAAAAGATCTAGGAAACCAGAGTGTTGTCACAAATTGGTAGGGGTGAACAGGATAGTATCTAATCTACAAAACGTAACATGCCACTCTTGCCACATGTCTATCAGCAGGACTCTTATAATGCCTGGACTGTTATAATGCCTGGATAGCAGCCCACGGGGTGCTTAGATCTGGCCTGAAGGGCCGCCCTGGAAACCACGAAGGCCGGTCCCACAGTGCCTCTCCCAGCGAAAATGGAGTTCGGGAGGGTGGCCCTCCCGAGGTCCGTTTTCACTGGCAGAGCACTGCAGGAGGCCGTCACAGCTGAAAATGGCGCCTGGGAGGGGTGTCCCCGTCACGAGTGACATTGAGCTGGCCACACCCACCCAGCCCCCATGATCAAACACAACCCTGATGTGACCCTCGATGAAAGAGAGTTTGACATCCCTGCACTAATGTGAAGTTAAATTCTTTGCAGTTTCTAAATTATGTATTTAAACAAAAACCCAGGATTATAGGTGCTTCACATGGGACAAGAGAAAAACGAAATAATGTCCAAGTATTATTTACATCCTTCCTTTACTTTCACAGCTGAAGGGCCTAAGATTAAAGTCAGGGTTAATGTCTCAAATCAGTTCTGGATGCCCACACATAGTGTTACTGGTCGATTAATTTTTCTTCCTTTCATGCTGGTGGGATTTCGTAATGGTTGACATTACAGAAGGCCTTTTCCCTACTTTTCTATTCTCTCATGACAATTTTGGGTTGGTACCTTCTACTGCTTTTGAATGACATCATTTATATGTTAATCTGGGAACAACTTCCTTTGCAGCATGATTGCCATGGTTCATAATTGTCAGGGTTCCAAGTAACGCCCCCAACAAAGTAAGACTCTGAGCC